TATACGCACGCCCTGATGCTAGGGAGTGTTGCTATACGCACGTCCTGATGCTAGGGAGTGTTGCTATACGCACGCCCTGATGCTAGGGAGTGTTGCTATACGCACGCCCTGATGCTAGGGAGTGTTGCTATACGCACGCCCTGATGCTAGGGAATGTTGCTATACGCACGTCCTGATGCTAGGGAGTGTTGCTATCCGCACGCCCTGATGCTAGGGAGTGTTGCTATACGCACGCCCTGATGCTAGGGAATGTTGCTATACGCACGTCCTGATGCTAGGGAGCGTTGCTATACGCACGCCCTGATGCTAGGGAGTGTTGCTATACGCACGCCCTGATGCTAGGGAGTGTTGCTATACGCACGCCCTGATGCTAGGGAATGTTGCTATACGCACGCCCTGATGCTAGGGAGTGTTGCTATACGCACGCCCTGATGCTAGGGAGTGTTGCTATACGCACGCCCTGATGCTAGGGAGTGTTGCTATACGCACGCCCTGATGCTAGGGAATGTTGCTATACGCACGCCCTGATGCTAGGGAATGTTGCTATACGCACGCCCTGATGCTAGGGAATGTTGCTATACGCACGCCTGATGCTAGGGAATGTTGCTATACGCATGCCCTCAGGTCATGTAACCCCTGGGTTACATGACCATATGAAAGGTTACATTGCAACCCTTCATATAGTCTAGCGCGGCTACATAAGTCATTATGAACTTATTTAATATGTTAATTAAAGTAACTTACTTTGATGAGGTTTGAAGGGTGGGTGTCATCGCTGTCCGGTCTCTGACCAAGCCTTCTGGTTGTTCATGTGCTGAGACTGTTAAAACCACTGCACGCAATCTGACGCACCGTTCATAACCAGGGGCCAGATTCACGAAAGCACTTACGAACGTGTACATCTTTCCACAATCTTTGGCGGCTTTGGTTACATTTATTAAACAGTTGACAAGCATGAAAACTTCCCAATCAACTATTGTTATTGTTATAAACAGCCTCCTGGTGCTTCGGAGCTCATTAACTGTTTAATAATTGTAAACAAAGCCGCTAAAGATTGAGAAAAGATGTACAGGTTCGTAAGTACTTGCGTAACTGCTTCGTGAATCTGGCCCCTGGTCTCGCAGGGTGGTGGTTAATGTGAAGGTCTGGAACCGGTTTCTATAATATTGTCCGTGTAAATGATAATGTATCTCTCACCCGCGCTCAGTGAGAACATTGTCAGCGATCTCAAGCTGTTTCCACAATTTAGATGTGTTAGTGTTAGGGAGCCGGTCGGCCGAGCGACAGTACGCTGGGCTTGTGATCCTGTGTTCCCGGGTTCGATCCCAGACACGGCGAGAAACAATGGGCAGAGTTTCTTTCACCCTATGCCCCTGTTACCTAGCAGTAAAATAGGTACCTGGGTGTTAGTCAGCTGTCACGGGCTGCTTCCTGGGGGTGGAGGTCTGGTCGAGGACCGGGCCTCGGGGACACTAAATCCCCGAAATCATCTCAAGATAACCTCAAGATAAGATAACCACACTACAGTAAAATATTAATTAAAGTAATTTTGATGCACTGAGACAGTAGGAATTCACCTAGCAGACCAAAGCAGACACCTGGATGTACCCATTCAAATAAGAAGATAATGTTAGTGGGTTACATGTGTGTGCTGGCCACCCATGGTAGTCGCGTGGTGCAGTGGTCTCCGTCGTGGGGAGCTGACCTTTGTCAAGTTGAGCTCACCCCAAGACCTTTATTTTCTGAAAAACTACCTGTATCACGAGAGGTCTTAGGTGTTCAGAGCGTAACTCCATCATGCCACAGGAAACTGTTATCTTTCACTTGGCGAAGTCTACTCTTTACTGTCAGGTTTGTTCTGTATGCCCGCTAACCTCTCTCTCACTGCAGGCCTCGCCTCCCAACCTTCAATTAATAGGTATATCTTGAGGTTATCTTGAGATGATTTCGGGGCTTTTTTCGTGTTCCCGCGGCCCGGTCTTCGACCAGGCCTCCATCCCCCAGGAAGCAGCCCGTGACAGCTGACTAACACCCAGGTACCTATTTTACTGCTAGGTAACAGGGGCATAGGGTGAAAAAAAACTCGGCCCATTGTTTCTCGCCGGCGCCTGGGATCGAACCCAGGACCACAGGATCACAAGTCCAGCGTGCTGTCCGCTCGGCCGACCGGCTCCCTAACCCATATTCATTACCTAGTCACAGAGATTCTCTTCGGAATACTGTTTGGCTTTAATCATCATTATCTGTTTTTTGTCTGCGGGTTTTCCGATGGATATTTTGTGAACGGCTCCTAATGTTTACTAGCAACTTCGAGCATTTATGTATATGAAGCTATGTATATTTATGTATATGAAGCTATTTATGTAAAGAAGCTTCCAGTTGACATTGGGTAGAATGTTCTCTTACGAGGTTTTTACAGTCATTTAAGTATATAAACTGTCACAGAACACAAGTCCTAAACTCGGCTAGGAGTTTATATCGCGGTTAGTCAGCCAGTCACTTAATCTGCTGGATGCTCCACCTTGTTGTGTTCTAATAGTTGACGGTATTGTTTATTACCCCCATACCAATCATCACTTCCCTCACACGCACCCACACAACCCCCCACACCCCCTCACCCACTCTCACCCATGACCTCATCTACACCAACTTCATCCATATATAACTTCCTCCACCATCGCCACCATTTTCCCTCTAGTGTTCTCCACCACCATCTAATTTTGCCCACTTATTTGTGCCTGGAGGATCGATTATTAGCTCTTGTACTCCAGCCTCTCGGGCCGCCGAGTGTTTAATGTAAAAGATTCACAACATATTTTCCTATCATATTTACTATTGTTATTATGAACTGGTTTTCGCTTCTATAATCTGCAAGTTTAGTTCATTCTTGGTTTATCAAGCTTCCCTGCATACCGTCTTGTTTTATTGGTTTTGTTTCTTAGTTTCAACTCTGGCAATCTCTCGTATGGGTAATTTCTCTCTCTTTCATGTCTCTCCTTTCTCTCTCCTCTCCTGTCTCTCTCCTCTCTCTTTTCTCTTCTCTCTTTTACTCTTGTCTTTTAACTAAGACTAGGGTACATTAGTGCTATCAACTGACTAGTGAAACTGCAAGTAAGATCTGTTATCCTACCTCAGCTCATCTGAAGCCTGCTCCTAGAGACTCATTTATTTCTTGAAAATGTGCTTAGAAACTATCACATAGGGCACCAGGGGGGGGGGGGGGGCTCAATGACAGGGCGACATACCCATAGACTTGTCTCACGTAGGTTGTGTACAGCTTTTTGACACACTGTACTCCCCTTCATATAGTCTAGGGTAGCTGCACAAATGCAGACGTTCCTAATATATTAAAAAAAAGGCCTTCTCAAGTGCGTACAAGAGCATAGATTAATTCCCCTGTTCTAACCCGTTAGAAGAGCCCGACTATAACATGGAACATAATGATACTAAACACAGTGGCGTCCAGGACATGGTGAGAGGAAGACGAGGTCGTGTGCACCTCCGGGGTCGGTAGCTGCTGCCCATTGAGGAGGAGGCTGCCGATGGAGGCACCAGCAAGGGATAGGTTTTGCGTAGCGCGGGTACAGGACTGATCCAGTTATATGTGCATGTATGTATACGGTGTCGGGTGTTCATGGTGACCCTGGCAAGCCTTGCACCTTTCCAGCAAGCACTCGAGCCAAGCTCCCCTCACAAGCCACTAGTCAAGTTCCAGGATGAATACTGAGGAGTCCTTCACCGAGGCTCCGCTCTGAGCTGGAGATCAAGTCGGCGGCGGCTAATCATCACTAATGATCCCAAGTCCTTGTTTGGTTGTTTCAGTGACGAAATAACCACGAATTACTGGAAAGGTGGCAGAGAGACGTCATTGTGAGTGTAATCCTGGCGTTGTTTACACGTTGTGAATGAGGAACATTCAGCAGCGCGTCTCCAGTGATGTGGAGCACTGCGGAGTTGACTAATATGTCTCATTTTTACACGTTATGGTCTCCGATGAGAAAGATATATGAAAAGTTGAGTCTCGCAAAAATCCAGGTAATTTAGTTTTTTTATGAATGTGCAGGTAAGGTGGGTTGCGTGGGTTCGTACGTTTCTGGTTGAGTTAGCACTAAGTATTTTGTACGTTGAGGCAAATCCAGAGAGAAGGGGCTGGTGTGGAAGTATGTGCTCAGTAACCCGCCTCCTGCTTCACATCCTCCCACTGGCCCCCAGGAACTACCAAGTACACACTTACATCCCGGAACTGTGGCGAGCAGTCTAGAATAATACACTGCTTAAAGCCTTGGCACCAGTAACTTAGTGGTCTACTCAACAGTGTAACACTCGCTTAACACATTGATATAGGAGTCGGAATAATACGCTTATCCTCTGAGACACTTCAGATTTTGCACGAGTCTCGGCGCAACAATTAGGAAAATGTCATTATATTCAGGAATGTTATTGCGTCCAGAAAACCTGCCTCTGTAATCTGGAACCTGTTATTCTCCTCGCGAACCTTTCATTGTAATTATATATTTGGTGCACACATTTAGACTCTGGCAAGCTGACCAGACTATACAGAGAACCTTGGACTTGGCCGCCTCACTCCTCTCTTAATACTAATCAAGAACTGCCAATTAATAAACAACTTGGGGAAAATGACCCTGACACCAAAATTTAGATAATGCTTTGGGCATGTTTGTATGTTTGTGGTAACTGTCTCTCTCTCTCTCTCTCTCTCTCTCTCTCTCTCTCTCTCTCTCTCTCTCTCTCTCTCTCTCTCTCTCTCTCTCTCTCTCTCTCTCTCTCTCTCTCTCTCTCTCTCTCTCTCTCTCTCTCTCTCTCTCTCTCTCTCTCTGCGGTGAGTTCTGATGATACCTGAACAATAGCACGGTTGCTGCCAGTGTGCCCGACTGTTCTTGGCGTCCAGTTAGAACTTAGGTATTCCTCCTGCAATTCTGACCAGCGTCTTGTATACAATGTACAATTGTAAAGGCTTCCCGTTCTCTTTCATAAATGTTTTAAAAAACAAGTTCTCTTCCTGCCAGAGAACAATTGAGCTGGAAGATCTGATTGTCACGTGTATTATTGTTGTTCTCGGTGGTCACTAGAACCTGTGTCGTGCATAAGTGGGGGCAGAGTGCCACGCTGCGGGGGTCGGGGTGTGCCACGCTGCGGGGGTCGGGGTGTGCCACGCTGCGGGGGTCGGGGTGTGCCACGCTGCGGGGGTCGAGGTGTGCCACGCTGCGGGGGTCGAGGTGTGCCACGCTGCGGGGGTCGAGGTGTGCCACGCTGCGGGGGTCGGGGTGTGCCACGCTGCGGGGGTCGAGGTGTGCCACGCTGCGGGGGTCGAGGTGTGCCACGCTGCGGGGGTCGAGGTGTGCCACGCTGCGGGGGTCGGGGTGTGCCACGCTGCGGGGGTCGGGATGTGCCACGCTGCGGGGGTCGGGGTGTGCCACGCTGCGGGGGTCGAGGTGTGCCACGCTGCGGGGGTCGGGGTGTGCCACGCTGCGGGGGTCGAGGTGTGCCACGCTGCGGGGGTCGAGGTGTGCCACGCTGCGGGGGTCGAGGTGTGCCACGCTGCGGGGGTCGAGGTGTGCCACGCTGCGGGGGTCGGGGTGTGCCACGCTGCGGGGGTCGAGGTGTGCCACGCTGCGGGGGTCGAGGTGTGCCACGCTGCGGGGGTCGAGGTGTGCCACGCTGCGGGGGTCGAGGTGTGCCACGCTGCGGGGGTCGAGGTGTGCCACGCTGCGGGGGTCGGGGTGTGCCACGCTGCAGGGGTCGGGGTGTGCCACGCTGCAGGGGTCGGGGTGTGCCACGCTGCGGGGGTCGAGGTGTGCCACGCTGCGGGGGTCGAGGTGTGCCACGCTGCGGGGGTCGGGGTGTGCCACGCTGCGGGGGTCGAGGTGTACCACGCTGCGGGGGTCGAGGTGTGCCACTCTTAAGGGGGGTCGAACTGTCGCGCTTCAGGGGTCCTTTTTTTGTTTTTATTGCAGTTAATGCTGAAGTTGCACCAGTTGCCTCCACAACAGTGTTGCACGGAGAGAGAAATGCTCACCAACGGCCCTCAGGGCCTACAATATTGATCTTTATGGGCGAACTAACTCGAAGCTACATTTCAATCTGCTCAATATATTAATACACAAGTTTTAAAATATTACTAAATAATGTTTCACTTAAAAGTCTCTTTAATAATTTTAGCTGGTGATGTGCCCTGTATTTTATAAACAATATCTTCATATTTCGTGTTGCATTAAATATTTTGTTTTGTAGTTTTAAGTAGTAATGAATCTAAGATATTTAACGGTATAGATGACGAAGTCTTTACGAGTCGTGTAATTAGTACTAATTACAGTCCTTTTACCCGTGGTCATCAGCCTCCAGCACTGTGTTCGTGGCCTTCTGTGTGAGGCGCTGCTAAGTCTCGCTGATTTAGCTTTATACTCTTTTATTCTCGTTATTTATAAATTAAAATCAGTACAAACTGGTAGTTAGAGGGGACATGGGTGGTTAGTGTGGTCTTTATAGGACGTGTGACCCCAGGTGAGTGACTGCTAGTGGTGGGTGCCAGGCCGCTCTCCGCTACCACCACTCCGCCCACCACCACTCCGCCCACCTCCACTCCGCCCACCACCACTCCGCCCACCTCCACTCCGCCCACCTCCACTCCGCCCACCTCCGCGGACCCTTCACTCTACTTGGCTTTTTGGGAGCCAGATTTATTAAATTGGTGTATGGAGGGAGGGTGGGAGGGAGGGAGGGAGAAGCACCTCGTGAAACATCTTCTGAATCCTCCCAGTCTTGTGTGTTGCTGTGGCACCCATCTGACACTTGTGTATTGCTGTGGCACCCATCTGACACTTGTGTGTTGCTGTGGCACCCATCTGACACTTGTGTGTTGCTGTGGCACCCATCTGACACTTGCGTGTTGCTGTGGCACCCATCTGACACGTGTGTGTTGCTGTGGCACCCATCTGACACTTGTGTGTTGCTGTGACACCCATCTGACACTTGCGTGTTGCTGTGGCACCCATCTGACACTTGTGTGTTGCTGTGGCACCCATCTGACACTTGTGTGTTGCTGTAGGCACCCATCTGACACTTGTGTGTTGCTGTGGCACCCATCTGACACTTGTGTGTTGCTGTGGCACCCATCTGACACTTGCGTGTTGCTGTGGCACCCATCTGACACTTGTGTGTTGCTGTGGCACCCATCTGACACTTGTGTGTTGCTGTGGCACCCATCTGACACTTGTGTGTTGCTGTAGGCAGTGTGCCGTGGGGAAGGGCTGGAGTCTTCACCACCTCACACGAGCCTTCTGTGGGAGCAGACCTCCCCCCCCCTCCCACAGAGTTACTGTGGGCGCCTTCGTGTGGAGGATAGAAGCTAGGCCGGCCGCTAGGCTAGGCTGGGGATCCGGTCGGCCGAGCGGATAGCACGCTGGATTTGTGACCGTGTGGTCCCGGGTTCGATCCCGGGCGCCGGAGAGAAACAATGGGCAGTTTCTTTCACCATATGCCCCTGTTACCTAGCAGTAAAATAGGTACCTGGGTGTTAGTCAGCTGTCACGGGCTGCTTCCTGGGGGTGGAGGCCTGGTCGAGGACCGGGCCGCGGGGACACTAAAGCCCCGAAATCGTCTCAAGATAACCTCAAGATAGGCCTACTAGCCGCTGTATTTACATTTTTGTTTAGTATTCTGTTACACTGATTAGTTTAATTCATCGTCAGTGTCCAAACTGCCTGGCAGTTGTATGGTGAGCGTGGCGAGACGTGTCCGCTGAATAAGACGGTGGTCGTGCGTGGGGCGACGGGCGGCGGGCGTGAGAGCCAGAGGACTAGTGGGCGTAGCACCAGGTAGGCGCCTTCCGTCTCAAGCCCCATCCGAGTAGCAAGACCCAGTTGGCGCCGGTCACGCCACCTCTCGCCAGCTGCCGCTGCCAAGTACCGGAGGGGGTCTCACCTCCGGCAACTCTCCCTTACAGTGGGCACTGCCACTCCCCAAGGTGAAAGGCCCACCAACACCCACCCACATGAGAGTGAGACTTGACGGATAGACACACTCATATGAAGGTGAAGGAGGAACTAACTCATGAAAGTGAAGGCGAGAGAATATTTGGGTACGCCAGAATTGAGGAAACTGATGTCACCGCTGTATTAAAATTGTTGCACTTGTTAGAAATTGGGAGACTTCTCGATAAGGAAGCAGAGGAGGGAGAATTATCGTACCATGGATGGCATGGGGTGATGTTTATCAGTGTCAGGAGGTTGAGGGGGGGAGGGGGCGTGCCTCACAGTGCCAGGAGGTTGGGAAGGTCATTCAGTGCTATACTTTTGGGTGTGACGTTCAATGGGGTGAAATTTAGGGTGGGGGTGTGAGAGGGGGGTTGACATTGACATGTAGGCTCGTGGCGTGGGGGGGGGGGTGACAGTGCCATTCAGGCCCGTTGGGAGCCACTGATAGAGCCGTAGGAAGGCTCTTCGTATCTCAGGGTGGGCAACAGTGATTTTTAAAACTGCCCACAGCTTCCAGAGGCAGAGCTCCATAGAGTACAGGGATTGACTCTTGTTGCCGGAGAGTGGTAGTTTATTGTGCACCCCATACTCATGCTGTGAGCGGTAGCGCAAAAATGTTACAGATGGCAGGCACTAAAGGTCTTAATCAGACCTCAGCTGTATTTTTACATTAACACAGAATTTGCACAGCTTGGACAGTGTTCAGTGTCCCGACTGACTGGCCCTTGTGGCGGCTGGAAGCAGGCAGGGAGGGTGTGTGTGTGTGTGTGTGTGTGTGACTCAAGAGATGACCCTGGGAGGTTTTAAACACCGTTGTGGGTAAAAGATGCACATGTATGCACCTCCCATATTAAGTGGAAATGCATAACACATCTGCTGTCTCTCGCGTGTACATCTCCTCGCCAAATTGTAGCTGCAGGACTGGACGTTAGCTCTTGGGCCGTGTTATGTGCGCGGTTGTTCACTACCGTTGATCATGTCCCCTTAAGAGGATCAGTAATGAAAGTAACGTACCGGGAGATGGGCTGAGTTGACTGTTTCTTCTGGCTGTCACAACGAGGAAATCACCATAATTCTCTCCCTCAATCGTCGAGTGTATTGCGTGCAGTCATTTTTATCTTATCTTGGGTGATGTTGGCGACACCTGTTGTGTGGCTGGCCAGGTCTTCCCGCCCGCTGCTCTCGCCTGTAAGTGGTGTGGTGTAATCCAAACCCTCAAGTCAACAATCGACTTGAGAATGGTCCAGGACGGACCGAAACGTCGTCGTCCCTTCATTTTCTAGTGTGGGGATTGATCAACATACTTCAACCACGTTATTGTGATTCATCGCCTGCATAATCCACGCCACTTACAGGCTCCACCCTCCTCTCTCTCCCCATAGTCTTACCTGCTTGGTGGGGCTCGTGAGAGCTTGGTCCAACAGGCTGTTGCTTGGAGCGGCCCGCAGGCCCACATAGTTTTGGAGCAACCGGGCTGTAGTGGCTATCTAGTTTATCTTGAAGATTCCATCTGTTTACTATACGAACACTGATATATATATATATATATATATATATATATATATATATATATATATATATATATATATATATATATAATAACTGAAGACACACAAATAAGACAAGCGTGGTTATGGCCAGTGTGGATGTTGACAAGTGCTTCACTGGCAGAAGCATCACAGCTGTTTGTGAAGTCTAGCACAAGATGATGTATGTAATTTTGGTTTAAGTTGAAAACAACTTTGTAAATTGCTGAAGATTGTCAGTTTAGAGTTTGTGTTTTCATTTGGGTGTGAGTCTCCTTACAGATTGTATAGCACCTCACAGATTGTATAGCACCTCACAGATTGTATAGTAAGGGGGGGGGGTATGCTCTTGGTCCATCTTATGTTAATATGTTCTTTCTTATTTTGAGAGGCTTAGGAAAGACACTTGTTCCTCTGACCTTAAGCGGGTTTTCCCATTATAGAAATAGGGATTATTATTTTCAACTTTTTAGTGACCGTTCACATGTTGATAAATTTGTTTTTTAAATTAAGACAATTTTAACTTGAAATTTGCTCATGAGGATTGTTAAAAAATTGCATTTTGTTATTTATTTATTACTAATGTGGGAGGTTAATGCACTCTTTCAGTCGCGGAAAAAAAAAAATACCGGAATTGGGATGAATTATTTAAAGTTGTGTCTTTGTCTGAGACAAATTGTGCAGGCGATGAGTCAGAATAACGTGGCTAAAGTATGTTGACCAGACCACACACTAGAAGGTGAAGGGACGACGACGTTTCGGTCCGTCCTGGACCATTCTCAAGTCGACAATCGACTTTAGAATGGTCCAGGACGGACCGAAACGTCGTCGTCCCTTCACCTACTAGTGTGTGGTCTGGTCAACAAAATAAGACAAATTGTGTTTATCTTCACTGACGAGTCTTAGGTCCCACATTATTCAAGACTATAATGAGCGTAATTACCAGCATCGAATTTCCGGAAGGTTTACAATAAGTAGGTTATGATGACCTCATGTAAGTTCCCACCTTAGGAAAGATGAAGCCGTCGACTGAACTCCTTGGTAGGAAATGAACTGAACTTGGGGTTACTCGCTCCACGAATTCCGGAGCCAGTCGGCCGCGCGAACAGCACACTGGACTTGTGATCCTGTGGTCCCGGGTTCGATCCCGGGCGCCGGCGAGAAATAATGGGCAGAGTTTCTTTCCCCTATGCCTTTGTTACCTAGCAGTAAAATAGGTACCTGGGTGTTAGTCAGCTGTCACGGGCTGCTTCCTGGGGGTGGAGGCCTGGTCGAGGACCGGGCCGCGGGGACACTAAAAGCCCCGAAATCATCTCAAGATAACCTCAAGATAACAAAGGAGATTAAAGCATTCTCACATCAGGGAGCAGAAAACGAAGAGCTGCAAATTAATGGCGAAACTCCTCGATGGGTTAACCACTATTGATCCCTTGGGGTTATTGTCGGATTTAACAAGGAGACAAAAAGATGTTTGATTACCTTATAGGGAGTTACAAAAGTGGCCTCGGGGCGCTGAGAGTTATCTCCAGGAATGATTATGGGGCTTTAAGTGGTGTATTATATAGCATGTGTTTGCTCCGGTAAATAGACTATGTGCTGCGTCTGTCTGATACACATACTTCTATGAATAACTTGGAGAACAGTCGGAGTTAAGCTATAGTAGTCAAGCTATAGCGATCATCCTTGGAACCCCAAAACTGCCAGAACATGGAATCTACTAGAAAAATAATCTTTAGTGCCAAAAATGGGATAAAGGTGCATATTTAGATACTGAATACAAAGCTTACTATTGAGATTGCAAGAGATCCTCACTATAAAGATATTGGCAAACACAAAAATTAATACGGTACTAATTAAAGGAAGAACCAGCAATAGTTCTAAATGACCATTTCAATTAGTATGCCATCTCAAAGAACTCCATCTGCCTGAGCAAGTCCGCGAGCTCATACCCATCAAGTTGTCACCTCCCTGGGAGGAAGAACCATGCAAGATTAAAATAAACGAGATGAAAAAAATAAGACATTTATATCTCGAGGGAATTTATAATTAGACAGAAAATTAAATAAATAAAATGTACGCTGCTGGATATCGTAGCCATAGCAGGGTTGGTGAAGCATGAACTGTAATTAGGAATTTAATGCCTTTCAAACCGAAAATGAAGGAGAAGCACGAGCTGAGAACCATGTCTCCTCAGCGCAAGCAGAGCTCACTGCATTTGTTACGACATTAATGCCCCAAGACGGAGGCACAAGGGAACCACTGACTCGCACTAACTTAAATGCCACATTTCAAAGCAACTGAAAAAATATAGAAAATGGGAAATGGCTGAAATTAAGAAAGCTGAGACCCCTGCTACCTAGTCGGGGAATGGTGATCAAGTTCCTGTGGATTCCCTATAAAATTGAAGTCTGTTGAACAAGCAGATGTCTCAGGCTACTGAGGACGCTGAAGGAGACAATATTAAATTCTTTATCCTATCCTTTAACCCAATAAATAGGCTCCGGAACCTATACACCAGTTGATTGACAGGTTAAGAGGTGGGACCAAAGAGCCGAAACTCAACCCCTGCAAGATAACTAGGCGAGTACACACACACACACAAATTTGCAAGAGTTTTTCACCTGATGCTCTGTTCACCTAGCAGTAACTAGGCACCTGGGAGTTCCGGCTGCTAGGGGACTGCATCTTGTGTGAGTTGGAGAGACATCATTTTCTTCTATCATATCTACTACATATAAGTCATTAGACAACCGTAGTTTAGATAGGCGGGGTCCAAGAGCTAAAGCTTGATGCTGCAGGCACAAATAGTTGTTAAAGCAAATAGTAAATACACACATATAATAATGTGTTTGTGTGAAGGGAAAGAGGGTAACAAAGTGCCAGAGCGGTAGATATGGCACTGTGCCATGTCTGCTGCAGCTGGCATTTTGCCCCATCTACTCTTCTGGCATTGTACTTTATCTACTATGGCACAGTGCCAGTACACGATATATTGTTCGGTGCAATCTCAGATGTGGCACAGTGCCAAATGAGCACGTGGAAAGATGTCAAGAATTGCTAAACTGTATAACATGCAGGACCAAGAGGTAAGGTAGAGGGTGTAAATGCTCTTACCAAGTGGTAGTGTGTGTGTGTGTGTGTGTGTGTGTGTGTGTGTGTGTGTGTGTGTGTGTGTGTGTGTGTGTGTGTGTGTATAGTTAGTACGTATTGGAGAGTTCTTGTGCAGCAGAGTGAGAGCTCTACAGGTACTCCTTTGTCACGTCTCTGGTGGGGCTAGCTGCCCGGGTATGTTGCCCGCCCGTGGGTGTGTGTACCCACCTAATTGTCACCTAATTGTGCTTG